AAAGGATAACAACCATGATCAAGGGTTTTGCAATTTTATTGCACCAAATACGTCTTTTAAAATAAACCATTCAAACCAAACGTTAATAAACGATTTTAAGACTTTGCACTTTGCAAGCTTGGAAAATTGAAAATATTTATTATGCAGCATTCGGCTAATCCCGTCGGATGTCCATTGGACAATCCAGTCGTGGCGGTGGCTGCATTGGTGTGTTGGATGTGTCCATTAATTGCTCCGTGTCAGGTCGTTGTTTTGTATTTTACTTCGTTTCATTATCTCTAACATTTTTTATATGAGCTTTGGACAGTCTAGAATGGTCCTGCAAATAAATCTTCTCTTTGAACCGGTGTCTCTTGTAAGCGGTAGTCGCTTCTTTTTCATGTTCTTGGATAATGTACTTTAGTGTAAACAGGACCATTTTATTCTTGTACACTAAATACAGCATTGACTCATTCTGAATCCTCTGTTTTTAGTTTTTTTAAGCAAAATTGTGGATTTTAGGGACTTGTCCACACATCACTACACCTGCTCATTTCTCAAGCTGAATCATGTCAAAGAAGCGTCAGACGGAGGTGGCGGAGGAAATAATCCGACGTGCTTCTGCTTATATTCCAGCCTTCGAAGACGTATTCACGGAAGAGGGCTTCTATATCTTTTTCGCATGTCTAACAGTCACGACCTTCGTGCTAGCATTTACCTGTGCCTGGTTCTTTGACATTACCATCACTGATGCTGGTGACTTCGCTCCACGAAGTCAGCTGAAAAAGACACGCAAGAAAAAGCTGCCAACTTACAAGGGCTAAGGGTGAATTCCACCCGTACAACTTTCTGTGCAATATCTTGTTTCCTATTTATTTTCTCTCCAGCTACTGCGTTTTTTGAAAATAGTTTTTGTTGCAAAAATTTCCTTCGTGGCCTTTAGGAGGGTGTCCCTCAAATCCTATCTGGAAGCGCATTTTAATTGCTATAGTCTGCTAAGTCAAGAGTCCACCTTTTTTGGTTGATGGTTTGTCTACTTTGATGCCTTAGTATTCGAGATGTTTGATATGGCTAACCAATTGTTCTTGCAATGATTCTTGTGAGCCCTTGAAGGGATTTTCGTTTAGTATGATTAACTTCATCTATCGAGTGGGTAAGGCAGAAATCAACACTGTATCCCCATCTTCTGTGCC